CCCAATGACTTTTTCCTTTGTTTTGATTGAATGTATTGATTTGAAGCCGTCGTGGCCGACGCGGTTTAGCTGTAGTTTGTAGACGATGAGAAGGCAAGTTTTATTGTATTCATTTACAAGTTATAAAATACTACTAATATATTGTCAAAGCATATACAGCTAATAAATGTAATGAAATTATTTTTTGCTAAACAATTATTGATGTAATGAAATTATTAACACCTAATTAGTTTCTTCTACTATGACTTTTTGTTGCGCTGAATTTTTTTTATAAAAAAAAATATGTGACTTGACTCTAATCAGCAACTATATTGCCATATCAAATTCTGAAACCATTTTGGTTACAAACCTTTGTGAATGGGAGACATGGTGCGGTGCGTTATGTAGGAGGTTGGTGCATTATTTTTCTTAAGTCTCCATTCATCATAGATTGATGAAATGTGGTGCGTTTCTTTTTTAAAATATTAAAAAAATAGAAAACCGCATGCAGTCCAATATAAGGAAGGAAAAAGTAATTCCGCACTTGATTTTTTGTTACCCACCAATTAGGTGCCGGTAAGCCGGTAAGGTGTGGATTATTCATTTTTTTATAATTAGAAAAATATTCTACAAGTTAATTTTATCAATTAATATGATTTATTTTGAGAAAAAAAATTTTGGGTCATCTTATATCTTAAAAGAAAATTAGTAAAATATTATACATGTACAGTGTTTATTATATTCACCAATCAACATTTACTTTTTATTTCTTGCACCGTGTATTCCGCACAATGTATTCTTCCGACATGGACTTTTGGTTTGGTTTGTCAAAAGTCTACTATCCTTTTTTTTTTTTCTAATCCTCTTATTTTCCCTTTTTCATTCGTTCGGCGAGTAATTTTTATCACCAAATTTGTAGCACCAAATTAAACATGTTAGGCGGAGTATTATAATATTTTAATTGGCTAATGGTTTTAGAAAGAAAAAAACAAAAAAACTATAGTTCAATTCTCTTCTTCTTTGGAACGGGACCAAAACTCAGTTATCTCCTGCTCAGAAATAAGCTAAACGAATTTTGGTCCATAATCTTTAGATTATATATAAAAACAAATGGGTATCAAGATGTGTCATGTGTTGTATTCGATTTTATTAGGCACAATATTGTTGTAATTTTTTAATATTAAAAATTATAATTAGTCCCAAAAACCAAACTCTAATTATATTTGAACCTAATAAAAAAATTAAAAATGTATATAAACCTAAAATTTTTTGAAACTAAAATATATATTTGATTAAACTTTGAATACGAATTGAACCATCTTTATATATGTTTTTAATTTAAAAATTATTATTCATGTACCTAAAATTAAAAACCTACAAAATCAAAACTGTGAAAAAATTTGAATATAACACTATTTAAAATTTTAACCATAAATAATAAATTTCTAATTATATGGTTTTTAAAAAAATAGTAACCCGCGTAGAACACGGAGAGTCGCCTAGTATATATATATGGATCAGTTAGTTGAATATTACTTTTGAGACCTATAATTAAGAAATTAACATATCCAAAAATATAATTAAGTAACTAGCAAAGAGAATTAAAATTATGACAAAATTGCCTTTACAACTATAATTAAGGTAAATATACATTAAAAATCTCTAAAAATCTTCTCTTGATTTAATCTCTGAAAAAATTGCTCATGCGATTGTATCATTGCGAAAGGTAGATGTGTGTTTTGCACAACTTGCCATAGAAAAAAAAATTGGATCAGAAGATGACAAAAGAACAAATACTATTTAATAACATAGTTAACTTCTTTTGAAACATCTCAGAACATAGTTAACTACATCACATTATTTGTAACTATCTAAAATATAGTTAACTATTTCCAAGCATAGTTAACTGCACTAATGATTTCAAGACATAGTTGACTACATGAAAATGTTGTTGTAATAGTTAGTTATTTAAACAAACATAGTTAACTAGTTCAAAACGTAATTATTAACATACACAATTGACTATTATCAAAAACGTAGTTGCTTATTCTAATAGAAAAAAAACATATATACTTTTTTTTTTAGTCAACAAGCATTCTTCATTCATTAACTGATCAAAGTACAAAAGGAGAGAATTAAGCATCCTCCATCATTACAACATAATTGAAATGCAACAAAACATAGAGTAGATAAATCATCGTAGAAGATGGACAGCGAATCCAAGTCGTGACTCGGATGCGTCAAGAGGGTCTTCGCGGCAAAGCCGGAGAATCTCAGGGTAGTCACTTTCCAGTGTGACTTTGAAGTTTCCGGCATAATGCTCGGGGATTCGACCACTCTCCAGGAGAGGGAAGAAAAAATGACCAGTCTCAAAGAGATGGCCGAAAGTGGAATTAGACTCTTCCACCGGGAGTAAATTACAGGGTTTGAGAACCCATAAAACTTGTGTCTTCTCATAGTAGAAGATGTATCATCAATAAAAACTACATGATTTGAGAATTCAGAAAACTAAAAACTTCTCAGAGAAGAGAAGCCAATAAGCTCAAAAGCATGTATGATTTTTGCAAATAAATCTAAATCTATTGGGCCTAGGCAACTAATAGAGAATGGGCCATGTGGGCTGGGCAAACCTGAATTTAGCTTGGGCCAGGCCCATTTGCTGATCCACTTGTGAATTAGGCCCAAGGGAGAGTAGGTCATCAGATTTCTTCTAGGGAGGAGGAGAGGTGGTTCGGATAGACAAATCGACGGTGAGGGTGAAGTCGCACATGATGTCGGATCCAAACCCGCTCCCTTATATGCGTGAAGATTTCTCAAATTTGAAGATTGTTTGCAGAGGATTTCCGATGCTGGCTTAAAATCCGGTGGTTTGTAACCGGCTTTGTTTGCAACCACATCGGGGAAGATGGTACTTCGGGGAACACCCGAGAAGGTTCTAGTTCCACAGGGTCTAGATTGATAGTTCCGCCGTGCCGGAATTTGTTCTATGGTGGATAGAGAGCTGACGGCGGAGCAAATGTTGAAAATCGTCTTCTCCATATTTTCTGGTATGAAGCTCAAAGCAGATCGCAGTAGAGAGAAGACGATAGTAATTTGCAGGGGTGAAGCGGCGGTTTCAATCAGTAAAGGCTGAAGATTGCCGGTGTTCATAAGGACAAGGCTTCGGTTTAAAACCGATAGAAATTCCGAGCCAGAGGTAAGAAGATTACCAACAACGCTTGCCGAAGGCCTAACTTGCCGGCGAGGCAAAGTATAGACTGCACCAGGCCCAACCGTCGTGGTCTTCCTCCTCATGTGGTGGCCGGAATGGGAGAAGAGCAATGAAAACGAGTCAACAACAGCCATAACATTCGAGTAAGGATAGAGGACGCTAGTAGTAGGACCGACGGTCCGATGCCGGCAATCCGCGGTTTACCGGCGTCGGAGATATGGTTTATAGTGATTGTCTCGATTCTTGAGCTTGGGAGAGAAACGCGGCTAAGGCGAACTATTGTGCACTATTTATTATATAATAGTAAACTATTATGAGAAACATAGTTACCTTTTGTACATAGTTAACTATGTCAATCTTCGGCGACAACTCAATTTGACCAGGAGATGAATGACGGTGGAGAAATTAACGGAGGAGAATAAAAACACCATCTTAATCCATGATTAAATATTTCGATCCATGACAACGAGTTAAGACAAAGTAATT